CCCTCCACCAAAAAAACCAAACACCAGCACCCTAACTTTTAGGAGGGACCAAGCCTGGCAAATTTCAAGTTTAACTTGAAAGCTTTGGAAAGTTGTTGTAAGCAAATAAAAAAAGACAAATAAAATGGAATCACTTATGCAACCTTAACTAGAGTAGGCATTGCTGCTACCACTGTATTACAGTAGTGTACTCAGCTGGAAAAGCAAATAATCTAGCTTCTCTAATGTGAATGGGTTAAACATGCTAACCATCCTACCGTTCTTGACAGGCAATACATAAAAAGGGATCTGACAATTCTCTCATATAAGGTATTATGCACATGTATGGTGATGTATAAAACTACAGCATAGGAAAAATGTCAGACTGTATGGTTCATCCATGATGGAGCAGCATTACTGTTTCTTTTATGGAGTTTGCAACAGATAACCTGCGGCTGACTACACAGAGTCTCATTACACTTTACTACTGCAAAGAGTCATTATGGAAATCCACTGGCGGGAGACGTGATATCATGCAATTTTTTAGTTTAAAAACCAAAGCTGCTTTTGAGTTATGAGCATGCCAACAAAACATTTAAGAAAAAAGCAAACTTATAACTTAAAATGTTAAATATTATTTGTTTTAAAGCCAAAACTTCATATGCTAGCTTCCTGCACCAAGTACATTTTTTACAACAGCAGTACAATATATATCTAAAGTTTGTGCTTTACAATGAAAATGCTGACACATTCTTAACAATAGCAGCAATAGTGAATACCAGCAGAAGAGATTTAAATGATGGTGAATCTGTACGCAGGCAGGGATCTCTTGAGGAGTGTCAACTGTGACCTGAGTTTGATTAAAAGGTTCCAAGCCCACTGATGAATATCAGGTAAGAAAAGAAAAGTGTCTTATGGAGTATTTTTATGCCTGGATAATTTTGGTCTAGAGAGCATCCTAGGATTCATTTAGGGAATAGGATATGTCAACAAAATCAGATACAACTGTTGGACAATGTTAAGGTTCAGAAGAGTATATCCACAGTATTGTAATGGATTAGGTATCCTGAATTTTTATTTTATTATTTTGTCCTACTTTATTTTAGCCCAATTTTAATTAACCAAAAAACCTCTTTTACCAAGATCTGTTTCATGCCTTCTTACCTGCTTCCCACGCTTTGAACAGCCTCCCTCTCCTTGTCCACAAAGCTTTCTCGCTTGCCTTCCTCCAAGCCTCTTTAAGTCTTCCACAAATGACTCCTAAGCAGGTTTCCCTCCCAACTTTCACCCCAGCAATGTTAGCTCCATACCTCTCCACTTCTGAGTAGTTCTCTTGTTTTGTATGTCTCTGTGTTCAATCAAAAATACTTTGTGGCAGAGACACTCTCTTGTACTTCTAACGTGCAGCGTTCATATCTTGCACTATACAGTGAAATAGTGAGATATTTTCTATGTCTCTCCTACAATTCATTAACATTTATCTAAACCTTTCCACATACAAAGCTACAAAATGTATTCTTTTAATAGTTAAACCTATCTGAATAAAATTATTGCATTTGTACAGAAAGAAAAAGCAGAACAAGTATGTTATTTTAGCTTTCATTTACCTTCATACTCTGCTTTCTTGGCTGCTTCCAAGTTTCTCCATTCAGTTCCTACAAGCCTGCTGAGCTCTCCAAAGGAGTAGTCTGGGTGCTGAGCTTTAATTACAGCTCTCATCTCACTGCTAAATAGGATGTACCCACTCATGTTGATCTTCCTTTTTGATCCCTCCTTCTTTGTGCTGCCCTTGGCAGACTTTGGAGTGGACTGTAAGAAAAATGGGTTATGATCACAACTATACAATAGGCTCTTCACATGATACAAAAGCCTTTAAAAACTGTGGAAGCATCAAAACTTCCTGTGCTTCAGTAATAACCTTTCCAATACATAATGCTTTGTGGACACACTAAGAGTGCGTCTACACAGCGGTGCTAGCTTGAAATAAGATAGTCCATTTTGAAATTTGAAATAGACCTCTATTCCAACAAGTTCCTTAATCCTCATGGAATGAGGTTTACCGGGACGTCGAAATATCAAACCCGTTATTTCGATTGCATTTCAAAATAATAGGCTTGCCGTTAAGACGTGGAAAATGCTATTTCAGGATACTGGACGTAACCCAAAATAGCACCACTGTCTAGATGTACCCTAACTGAAATTTTGGAAACTTGTGATTGAGGGAACAAATAAAGGACCTTCTAGACCAGCAGTTTTCAATCTGTGGTCCATGGAGCCCTTGGGGCACAATGATTGCTTAAGATTTCCAAAGATGTCTGCTCTCCATTCAATTTTTTTAGGGGTTCACAAATGAAAAAAGGTTGAAAACCACTGTTCTAGATCAAGGAAGATTAATAAGATGTGGGCCATGACTCTGCAAACCGATTAAAGAAACCAAAAGGATATGCTAAGGTAAGAAAATAAATCCAATTTAATTACATCTCAAGCCTCATTCTATAAATGTCTGTGCTGCAGATATCATTTGAGTAAATACATTATATTTATGGTGACGAGCCTTACTCAAATTATTTCTAGCTTTCCTCCTTGGCTTTCCCACTCTCTCTCTAAACACTGTGTCTTGTTTCATAGATCTTCCCCCTCCCCCTTTCCTTTCTTCGCTCAACACTATTACTGGATGATCTTTTCCACTCATGCAACTAGACAATCATCTTTGGATACATCTGCACAGCAACTGGGAGCGTGCTCCCTAGCATGGGTAGACACCCATGGCTAGTTTTACCGCGCTACCCATCTAAACAGGAGGAGGTCACAGTGCAATGACATCTGAGAACCCCTTGTCTAGAAGTACTCATGTAGGATGAAGAGCTTCTGTTATTTCTTTAAATGGCTCATTAGGCTGCAACTTTATCAGCTTCAAAGTCTTCTCCTTTCCTTAGTTTTCATGGCATAATCATCAGTTAATTTTTGCTGTTTTCCCACAACTTTTGTTTGATGAAAAAGTTAATATTAACAAGCGCAAAAAGCACTCTGATGCCATCATCCATGTCCTCTGGTCCCCAATTGCACTGCTTTCTGCGGGGGTCATACACCTGATAAGGTTCAACATTTTAATTAGGAAAAACTATCTTTTTCCATGGTGTTAGCCTACTAGTTTCCAATCACTCCGTTCTTCCATATACTGGTGTATGGTTATGTTTCCACTTCCCATCACTCCGTTCTTCCATATACTGGTGTGAAAGCACTGAATGGTAGCTTTCAAACTCTGTGCACTGGTTGCCCCTTTCCCTCCCACAGTGCCAGAACAGAGCAATCCCGGGGGCAGCTCCACATTCTCCTCTCCTTGCCCCTTGGCCGGATCAGAGGTGGGAAGCCAGGCAGCTGCAGCTCTGGCTGGTGCCATGCAGCAGGCAGCTGTGGCTGCTGCCTGGGATTATGGCTGCTCCTCAGCTCACACAGCCGGTAAGAGATGCACAGGCAGACACACACAGCTGTGAGGTCAGCAGATCTCTTGGGGAGCAGGGGAGTTCTTCTGGCACACAACCCCTAGCTCCCCCGGCCCCCCCACTCACACACAGCTCCTAGCGAACCCCCCTGCCTAAACCAACCTACTTCCTGCTCTCCCACAGCCCCTAGTGTACCCCCTGCTCACACACACAGCCCCCAGCTACCCCTTCCTGTACCATTAGGGTTGCCAGATGGTTGAAACAAAAATACCAACCCCCCCTCCCCCGCCAAAAAAAAACAGGAAAAAATTCTGTTGAAGGGGGGAAAAAAAGGGGAGGGGGAGACCAAAGTTGTTGGGGGGTGTGTGGGGGGGAAGGGACGCCAAGGACTTAAGCCAAAATAAAATAAAATAAAATTAATTAAAATAAAACAGCATGTCCCCTTAAAGTGCAGGGATAGGAACAGCACTAATCTGAACACTAAGACCCAAGGGACAGCCATTTTGTGCCAGCAGCCTTGGGGAACCAGATAAGCATGGGGGCTGGGGTCAGGAGGCTGGGAGTGTCAGGGGCCAGGGAGGGCTCAGGGGTGGGAGGGAGGAGGCCAGGCGCTGAGTGTTTGTAGGGTTGCCAGGTGCCCAGCATTTTCTCCTCCTGGCCGGGAAAAAATACAGAAAATACCCGACATTTTAGATGTCCGGTATTATCTGAATTTTTTTTACCGGACAGGAGCCAAAAATACTGGGGCTGTCCGGGTGAATACCAGACACCTGGCAACCCCATGTACCATCAATCTTTTTGAGCTCAACTTTTGGAGTTGAACTTTTGGCAGGCTGGCAGAAGTGCCTCCCTTGACTCTGCTATCTGGAGCTGGTCCAAGTCCCACTGGCTCCTATCCCTCCACAAAATAGAAGTCAAACTATGCCCATGCCCGAGGGCCCATCCCTAGCCCGGAGCTCCGAGTCTCCCTCTTGCCCGCATGTTGAAGGGGGTCAGAAAGAAAAAGTTTGAGAATCCTTGACCTAGACATCTTTATACAGAAAGAATTAATCGATGGCCTGCCCACCTTCCAGGCGCTTAGGTTCAAGCAAGCCCATGCTGCAGGTCACAATTTCACCCACTCCTCTTTTCCATCTATTAGCCACGTACCTGTCTCCACTCACAAAGACTCTGTTCATTCCTTTTCCCATCTATCAGGCTTTTAGACAGTTATGTAATTTGACTGTTTCCTAACCGGAACACCACAAGACTTGGTAATTTGACTGTTTCCTAACCGGAACACCACAAAACTTGAAGTTCTCGTAGACTCATAGACTTTAAGGTCAGAAGGGACCATTATGATCATCTAGTCTGACCATTTCCCTTTCAAAGACTTCAGAATAAAGTCTTAATTCAGATTGAAATTACAGTCTAGCAACCCAAATATTGACAGATGACTAGTAATTTTCAGTGCCTCACTTTTAGTGCCAAAAGAGACTTATTTTTCTGAGTGGGAATTCAGTATTTCAGGGTATCAAGCAGAGCACCCACCTATCACAAACCACTTTTCAAAGTTATGCTGCATGTTTCGTTATAAGAAAGGAACTTCAAATATCTATTATGTTCATGTAAATTCAGAGTATCGCGAGTTCAGTCAACATCCATACACACAATAAAATCCACTAGCCTGTTTTAGAACTCGTTCTATGAGAAAATAACACCCCATTCACATAATAGTGTAAGTTTGCTTTAAATATATCTCCCCATTTGAATGTATTTGACACTACAGCAATACGTGCCAGGTTAGAACACAGAAATGTTCTGGGAAATTATTCCCTGGGCTGCTAAGATTAAACAAACCTCCTTGGTGGATAGAACTACACTTATTTTGGTTTTGTTTATTGTTAGGGGGGTGGGGCAAGGACAGAGAATACACTCTAGTTTTTACCTGTGGTGGAGTGTATGGCATTATATCCAGTTCACTTGACAGGGGAGTCTGAAGCTGAGGCATAGATGGTGCTTCGATGATTTCACCTTCTTCTTCTGCCATCTCTTCAATGTCCTCGTCGCCCCCTTCCAATTCAGCAAATTTTGCTTCTAGTTGCTGAATCTTTTTCTCCAGCAGTGGAGATGGCTCCTTCTGAGGAACTATAGGTTTTCTGAGGGGAGAAAAAAAAAGGAAAAAACAATTATTCTCTGCATGACAGGTCAATCATAGACCTTTCTCAGCAGGTATGTCTGCACTGCATGTTTGGGAGCAGTTGGGAGCATGTTTCCCAGCTTGGGTAGAGAGATACGGGTTAATTTTGCTCACACTTGCATGCTAAAGGTAGCAGGGTAGGTGGGGATAACAAGCTACCTGAGTATGTAGCCAAGGGAACAGGTGCGTTTGTACTCAGACATGTGCTAGCTCTGCTTGGCTAGTGCACTGAAAATAGCAGTGTACCCAGGTAAAAGCTTGGGCTAGCTACCCAAGCTCAAACCCACCTGGCTCCTGGGCTGTGCCCTTGGGAGTCTAGCCCAAGCTGCTGCCTCAACGACACTGCTATTTTTAGCTGGCTACCTCAAGCAAACCTAATATGGGTCCGTCTACACAAACAGGGAAACAAATGAATATTTCTCTTGATAATACTGTCCACCAATTGGGAGGATATTTGGGCCTCACTCTGATACCCTTACATGACACGGAACACTATTATTTTGTATAGATCCCAAATGTAACAGCTTTTACCAAAACCTGGAGTTCAGTGGACAGGAGGGAAGCAAAATATGAAGGTAACAGCTGAGATTATTTCTAAATATTTGTGATCACTCTGATCTGATCCTTACTTGTTACAATTTTGAATCGTGGAATAGAAAAAAAGAAGTGTTTTTTCCAATCATATTTTACCTAAAGTAGTAAATTTCATCATCCACTACTTTTGCAGACAGTGAAAACCTCTTAAGCCCTTTAAATTTTTTCATCTGTTTGTCACTTTCATTGTAGCGGCTCTCACACAGTAAAACATCATTTTCAGAGATCTCTGTTGGTCTACAAGACAGGAAATCCTTGAATGACAACACAGCACATTTTCCTGCAAAAGTAAGAGAGAAGGGAAAGGAATAGTAGTTCCCTGATGTCATAGCTCTAACATGAAGTATTTCACAAAGACCGGAGAAACTCAGTTTTCCACCCATCTCATACATTCTGAAGATTCATGGTGTTTCACTGTATTCAATGGAACACACACACACACACACACTCACACTCACTCTCTCACTGCACTTTGCTCATAGTAACAATCATATGATCTATCAGAGGAGTGCTGCACTCACACACACACTCAACAGAGATCATTACGAAAATAAAAAAGGACAGGAGAATCAGAAAACAAAAAGCCTGATTAAAAATAATTGAGATAAAAAATGTTTTGGTGTGATAGACCTTAATCCCCAGCCCCCCAAACAGAATTTCTAAATAAAAAAAGTATTTTTAAAAGAACCCAATACAGCAGAATACCATTTATTTGAGTCTCCACTATCTGGCTCTTCACATTAACTGAACCACTTGCCACTTGTGCGGCTGACAGGTGGAGACTTGGTTTATCCAATCTGGCCCTGATCCCAATTAGATCAGATAATCAGGGTTCACTGTTTTTAGAAAGCCTAAAAATGAGCAATTAAATAATCCACAGCAAATTACATACGGCCACAAAATATTTCATTACTATCATTCAACTGAATTTATTGTTGCATCCCAAACATGGCAAAAACATATCCAACAAGTCAAAATAAATTACTGAGTTTAAAACCCCTGTTTTTTATTCAAGGGATAATTTCCCACTACCTCCTAATACCTTACAATGTGCTTTTTTCAGACATCAGACTGGAATAAAGAAGTCCCTGTGGACTTCATAGTCTTCTGCTTCCTACTTATAGGGGCTCTGTATTTGATTTTAAAATAAATATAGTTCATAGAACTGGAAGAGACCTCAGAAGGTCATCAAGTCAAATCTCATGTTACAGTACTGATTGAACCTTTCTAGTCCAGCACCCTTGAGACCTGACCAGTTCCAAATTTTCCTGACCACAGGAGGTCAATATTGTCTAGCAGCATTGCCAACACTGCCACTGCTTCCTGGGCTCTTAGAAGACATTTGGGGTACATTAGAGCTAAATCACAGCACAGAACACTGAAAGCCAGAACTAGTGGCTGTAAACAAACTTTATGGGACTACAGGAAACTTGGCCACACGCATGAAAAGTGAACATCCGGCTAACTTAAATCATTCTGGATGACAGATGTTTCCAGACCAGAGAGTTCTGGACTAGAGAGGTTCAACCTGTAGGAATACATGAAAGGGATGGATCTTGCAGAAAGCCCTAACGGCGATTAATTATGAAACCCAAAAAAGTAACTTTGGGTAATGTATCCATTCTTTCCCTCGACATAGTACAAGAAAAAAAATTAAATAGAACCACACACAGCTACGATTTTAGACTAAAAAAAAACAACCCACCACACTCCCACAGGAAAAGAGTTAGCCAACTGAATTTAAAATGGTAAATACATACCTAGAATGCACGTCATGGGACACGTCTCTTCAAGGTTACTCAAAAATACTTCCTTCTTGTAGAACATTTTAGTTGGTTCATGTTCAGTTTCTTCTGGGTGTATGAAGATTGGGCCGAAGAAATATGCAGCTCCATCCCGTACCCACATCTTTTCAATTCTAAAAAAGAAAACAAACCATTGATAAAGAAATAAAAGGACTTTCCCTCTCCTATAACAGACACAGTAGGTGGTTATGAAAGCTGTCATTAAAAGATGGATATATTAAAAGAGTCAAGAACTCTATATGCACTTAAAAATGGGAATACTACAGTTATTAGTTGGTTAAGTAGTACTTTACTTCATTTATATAATTTATTACTGCTACTTAATTACTGTCACTTAAAGCTCCAATCTCAATTTTAAGGTCTTTGAATCACTATTGTGCAATACAACAGTAGCCCAACACCTTCTCCCACATTAGGACAATTATATTCTGACCTAGGACAGGCAAAAGAAAAATAATCAGCACATCCACCATATTACTATTTGACTGGTAGGCTTCCACCTCAAATATTCTATGAAGTGTGCGCAGTGTTTCATAAAGAGGATGGTTCCTTCTGTTCCTTTCTTGAATTTTAATATATAGATGTCTTTTTATAATACAGGTCGATTTTAGTTGTCTAATTATGCCAATTTCATCGCTACAATTTATAAATTAAGAAAATACATCTACCTGCCAACCCGAGGTCGCACTAAGCCATGTGACTTTATAAAGACACAGTCCCCAACCTTAAGCCACATATCATTATAACGGAGTTGTTCAAAGTAGTGGCAACCAGGTTCTCCATTTGACATTTCCACTGGAACATCTTCTTTCTCCTACATCAACACATATATATTAAAAAAACTAGTGAGATTAAGGAAATAGACTATAGAAGGAGTAAAAAGGTGCTAGAGTAAATAAAAGGGAAATTTACTGTGCCTTAATTTTATTTCCAGTCAGTTAAAAAGTAAACTCAAATATCGAAAAAATTTAAGTCCAGCAATCTGAAAATGAAAAGGCTGAGTCCGCATTACAGCTGAAGGTCAACTAAAGGTACGCAATTCCAGCTACATAAAAAAGGAACTGGATTTAACATACCTCAAGCCAAGCTTTGGCACCATCTTCACAGTGGGTGGTCAATGGGAGAAATGCTCCCACAGACTTCTCTTAGTTCCACTGTCGACAGAGGCACCATCAGTGTTTGATTTAGCATAAGCCTGGGCAAAATGTGGCCCGCAGGCTGGATCCAGCCCGCAAAAGCAGTGGGGAGCCCTAGGCAGGCTCCCCTGCTTACCCGCAGCCCCTCATGCTGTACAGAAATGTGGCTGCTGGGCTTCCTTTCTCTTTCAAAACTGGAGGGGAGGAAGAAGTTTCAGGAGCCACCCAGTGCCCAGCACAATCCTATTGGCTGTTTTCTGTCCAGAAACCAGCCAATGGGATCTGCTTGTTTGAATAATAGGCTGCCAAGAAGAACCACACTCCCTCTCCTCAGCTCAGTTATTCACTATGCACATGCCCAGGCAAACAGGCAGGCAGGCTGGCTAGGAAACATTTTAAGCTCTGCAAGCCTTAGCTCTGCAGGTAGGCAGTCCGATTGGGCTGCTGGCTGGTAAGTCTCCTGGTCACAGCCTGCCTTTGGCACCCCAGCCCCTCCCTGTCCCAACTCTCTGACTTCCAGCTCAATATACCCAAATCCTCTGTCCCCTTCTTGCAGCCATAACCCCTCCCAGATCTGGCACCCCAACTTCCTGCCCCAGATCACAATCCCCTTCTACCCTAGGTCACATCCCAAACCCCTGCACTCCAGTCCCCTGCCCTAGGTCACAACCGCCTCCTTCAGCCAAACTCCTTCCCAGACTCCAGTCTCCCGCCTGCACCCCAATCCCTTACCCCAAGCTCCCCTCTGCACCCATCCTCCATATCAGACCCTGCACCTCCTCAATTAATATCATGGAAGACTGCGGCCCTCGACCACTTTCCAAATTCTTGGAGTGGGCCCCCATCACAAATTATTGCCCACCCTTGATTTAGCGGGTCTTTACTAGACCCACTAAATCGAACTCCGGAAGATCAACCGCCGCAGCATTGATCTTGTGGGAAGTGAAGATGTGGCTTGTGAAAGTGGTTAGCTTTGCAATTCCAAATAAAAGGATGCTGTTTTCCCATATAATCAATTTGATTGTCCTTTGGCACTTTGTCTGTTTATTGATATCAAAGTCATTAATTGGCTATCTTGTATGGTTAAAGCAAAACTACAATATTCTTCACTTTGTTTTTATGATGATGTGGTCAGGGGAAATGAAATTAGGTATTTGGTCAAATTACTATGGGTGAAGGCATTCACTGTTCAGACCTTAAATAGCACAATTACCACCATAATGCAGATACAAATTTCCTACTGTTTGTCATATAATTCCCATTTTTACATCCAAAACTCACATAATATCTCTCTGTATCAAGTCAAAAGTAGCTGAGGGTACTTGGCAGCTCACAGAGGATTCTCTACACATGGCAGGGTCAGATCATGTGATTCTTCACATTCTTATAAGATTATTCCTTTATTTTATTTTTTGATGAATTGTAGAGCATACAATTCTAGGGTTTATTGGGGGGGAAAGGCCTATTCGGGGTTCACAGTAATCAGCATGTTACATATTTTGTTTTTAAATCATGCGTGCGAGCACAGAGAACATACAATAGGCTCATTCTGTAAATCTAAATAGAAGGAATGAAAGACAATACTTTTTCCCTAATACATTATCAAGAAAAATGTCCTTAGGAATGCCATTTATCTGACTGTTAGATATTTTAAACCATCAAACTATAAATAAACCATGTTTGACATCATAAAATGTCACAGAGAAGCCTATGATACCACTAAGTAATGATTGTTGCTCTCTTTCTATTTAATGAAAGCTTGTCACACCTAAAAGCTAAATATAAATGATATCTACAATAAATAGGTTAAGTTGAAAATAAAATTTTCAGCCTCACTGATTGGTCTAGTCTAGCTTTTGGACAGACTTAAGCTGATTTTTTTTAAACGGATTAAGAAAAAACCTAACACAATGAGAAAATGGTCATTTGAAATGCAGTTTAGTACTTAAATACAATATGTATTTTGAAGTAACTGGAGAACTCCAAAGGCATTAAAAAACATACACGATGGGTTTAAGAAAGTCGGAGGCAAGTAGTTAACATTCTCAACACACAAACAGGGGTAGCACTTATTTGAATCAATACTTCAATTATTTATATGCAGGATGCATACACAAATTTTAGATGTAATATTTTTACACATTTTAAGAGATTGATTATCATTTCTTATTTCTCTAATAATTTAGCTTTTTGGAAGGATGTGAGACCTAAAACATGAATGTTCACATTTTTCATCATCTATGAACTGAAATCCAGTTAATTCAATATCCACCTTATTTTCTTACCTACCTTTTCAAGACTAAGGATACCGTCTCCCACTTTATTATCCTCTAAGGTTTCGGTGTGTTTCTCATCTTCCACTTTGTCTGTATTAGCAAACACAGAAGCGACACGGACCACAGGCAGGGGTACATCTCGAGGGACAAATCTTACAGAGCTAATGGGCATGGTCCACAGTTTAATCTTCTTAAAAGACTTTGTCTTTGCAGAGTAACGTGACTCACAGACGTACACATCCTCATCTCTAAAGTTTTCTGGACATAATTTAAAATATTCCTGTTAAGAGAGAAGGGAAGGGATCATTTCAGACGAAAATGTCAAGAAACAAACATGGACACAGAAATTACATATACCAGCTTGATTTTTGTTCTGCACTTGCCAGAACAAAAAAAGCCCATCACAGAAGTACAATCTATTCACTAAGTTTCTCTCTTTGGGTTTGATATCTGAGTTACTAAACAAAAATGAACAACAGTTTTTTTTAAATGTGTGAGGTTAAATTCAGTGCAAGGTATCAGAATTACATTATATACTAATTATTATACCAACCAGGTATTATAATAATTTCTGGCTGTATTTCCCCAACATTAACTTGCCAGTATGTTTGAACTCTAAGCAGAAAGGCCACCACTGAGTTGAGAGGAATGAAAGTTCCATGTCCATTAATCTTAGATTATTATACAAAGATGCTAATTGGAGCCCACTGTCATAGTGATTGTGTGAGTTACAGAAACAAGGCATCGAATAAGAACTGGACTGAGACAGCTGATTCATTCTACACAGTCCAAAAAGGATTCCAATCAAAAGAACATCCAACACAACTAACCTAGATGGAATCAAACTGTGGTGTAGAAGTGAAACTCTATACCTTATTATCATTCCCCCAAGCTATCCAGGCCTCGTTCCTATAAAAACTAAAGCTGAACATTTTGAGGGAAAATTGCAATTTCTTTATTTCTTTCTCAAAATATCAGCACATTTGATAACAATTTGTGTGTGAGATTTCTATCGCCAAACTGACTAAGAAACATGTAAATTAATGTCATTCTGTGTCTACTATGAGGAACTACAATGTATCAAGCTATAAGACATGATAGGGGAAAAAGGTTAGGCCATACAGGTACTGTAAAAGTCTTTGAATCTTTTTAAAAAATAGTGCACAAATCAGTAATTAGTTTAACAAATTAGTCCATTTAATCTCTCACCTTAACAAACATTACCACACATTTGCCTAGAATTTTGCTAACGGGAACTTTATTATAGTAGTCACTCTTAAAAACTTCCTTCTCCAGAAATTTTCGTGTTGCAAGATGGAATGTTTCATTTGGTCGATAAAACCAGCAGCCATACAACCATTTTTCCCCTAAAAGCAAAAAACAGTATATATTTTCTATTGCACAAGGAAGTAAAGCCAGTAATAGATTGCATTAATAATCAAACAAATATATAGCAGTACCTGATATATCTAAACCTCACTGATCCTAACTAGAGCAATGTTTCCCAACTTTTTCAGATAAATGAAGTTTGGATAACTAAGAAGTTGACTGGCTGGTTTCTCCTATGGAAGTATGAATCACAAGAACACAACGGGAATTAACACCACCAAGCTAGTTGGCCTTAAGGAACACCGTCTGCTGTCCATAAATTCTGGCTCAGCTGGCCTTGAAAATTATGCTCAAGGTCAGGAAAAAGCCTGTGAATCTGTCACTCCTGACGACAGTATTTGAAAATGTGGGGCACCCCCCACAGATCTCTGGATAACAGATTGCAATGTATATGTTTAATAATAACTCCTTTCCTCTTTGTCATCTCCTTTTGATAGCATCACTCTGTGACTTCACAGTTTCCATATACACTATTAATGGACACTACCATCAGCAATAGCCACTTTTTCTAGTTTGGACAAGGCCCTTCTCTTCCTCCCTAGCTGACTCAAACACAGTGTTGGTGGGTTCTGGAAGGAGCCATACCTAGCAATCTTAGAGCAGAAAGCAAAGGTGTTCTTATGTATGGGATGTTTATAATGTGAAAAATAAAGGACATTTAGCGATCCCCAAAGCTCTCCAGCATGCAAAAGCCTTTAAATCAAGTGTTTCAGAAGTAATAAACACACATGCCAGTGAGCACATAGAGTTGTAAACAGAATAATTAAGGTTTCACCAAAGAAAACAAACAGGAAGTTTTACCAAGCAATACAGTATTAAAAATAAGCAGCTGTACTGCATTATTTTGCTGTGTCCTTACCAGCTGAATCTTCCCATAATCGTTCAATGCAGACTATATGAGGTTGTAGGTTGGCTTCTGCAGGTTCCACATAGACATAATCCCCCACATGGTACATGCTGTTCTTAAAGCTGCAATCTTGGCTGTAAGTCCGATGCAAGCTCGACAGACCGGCTCCCCCAGCAGAATCTTCACTCTTTTCAGCTTCTTAATTCAACATAAAAGGGACACAATTATTAAAAGCCACTGACAGAAGAGAAAAGATTCTGAGAAGAAACAGCCCCTTGCTCCCATACGCCAGCTCTCCAGGAGCTAGGTCACGGCACCGTTGGCAAGTTAAGTAAAACTGCACTTGGGTGTAAGTGGAATGAGGGGAAGAAAGCGGCAAGTGGGAGCACCACTGCAGATTAAGAACGTCTGTTTACCAGCTAGAGCTGGGGATGGGGCCAATGTTTGTCACATTCTTATTTATTATTTGCATTGTGGTAGCAAGAAAGACCCGGATAGTTATGGATCAAGAAAAGCCAGTTACCTACCTATTTGATAACTGCTGTTCTTTGAGATGTGTTGCTCATGTCCATTCCGTTTTAGGGGTGCATGTGCCCACATGTATAGTTGTTGCAGATTTTTGCCTTAGCAGTATCTGGAATGCCAGCTGCAGCGCCCCCTGGAGTGCAGTGCTCACACTGTGGTATATCAGGCACCGTCCTTATGCCCTCAATTCCTTCTTGCCGACAACTCTAACAGAGGGGTAGGAGGGCAGGTAATGGACTGGACATAAGCAACACCGCTCAAAGAAAACAGTTACAAAAGGCAGGTAACTTATTTCTTCGAGTGCTTGTTCACGTCGATTCCATGCTAGGTGACTCACAAGCTGAATCCGCAGAGGTAGGCTCACAGTTCACACACTTGCAGATTGGAGCACTGCTCTGCTAAAGCCAATGTTAACTTGAGTTTTCTGGGTCAGCGCATAGTGTGAAGAGAACGAGTGGACGGACAACAGATGGCAGCCTGACAGATTTCCTGGATTGGCACTTGGGTGAGGAAGGCTGCCAAGGATGTCTGCCCCCTAGTCAGGTGAGCCATTACTATTGGCAGAGGCACCTTCGCTAGCTCATAACAATAAGAGATACAGGCCATGATCCATGATGGTATTCTTCAGGCACCAGGTCATCCTATCTGCATTGACTTACAGAACGACTTCGTTCTATCTACGTAGAAGGCCAGGGCCTGTCTGACATGTAATCTGCATTTATCATCCACCGCATAAGGCTTTGGACAAAAGGACCAGCAAGTATGTCTTGGCCAGTATGGAACTGGGAGATGACTTTGGTCAGAAAGGCTAATGTGGATGCAGCTGGACTTAGTCCTTACGGAAGACGGTTCACATTAGCGCTCTGATTTCAGACAACTGATGGGCCAACGTTAAACTGACTAGTAAGGAGACCTTCTAGGAGAGAAGCAGGAAAGTGCAGGAAACTAGAGGCTCGGGTTGTGGGGGACCCCTGAGCCTTAGCAGGCCTTTCAGAAACCATGCCATCACAGGGTGGGCGAAGGCCAACATGTCTTGAAATGGAGGGTCGAATGCTCAAATGGCTGCGAGTAGCACCTTGATCAAAAACAGCAACAGGCCCTGGAGTTTAAGGTGCAGCAAATAGCCCGGGACATCTTGCAGTGGGTCCCCTTCCACACCGACATGATAATCTGAGGCCCAACACATAAACTGCTTCCACTTAGCCACATGGTGGCTCTGGTGGAGGACTTCCTGTTGCCCACCATCAGAGCACCCTCATTCATCTCCACTTGGCCACACAGCTGTCAAACGCCCTGGTTCTGGGAGAGCAGTTCCAGCCAAAGAGGCAGCCGCAGGGGTGGGTGGCTGCTGACACACTCAGCAACATATTGAACCAGTGCTGACAAGGCTGCACTGGGGCCACAAGAATGACACTGGCTTTGTCTTGCTTCACCTTTAGCAGGACCTTGTGGATCAAGGGCACCAGCGGTCAGGCATACATCAGTGCTCCTACCACAAAATCAGGAACGAGTCTGACAGGGAGCAGAACACATGTCACTTCCTATTTGCCAGGACACAAACTTGCAGAATACTGGGCTGACAAACTCCAGAAGGAGCGAGCATTTGTGGTGAAACGAGAAAACCACTAGGACATTCTTGGTCCTTGGCAGGAGGGTGGCCACCAGGTGAATGGGTTGCCACACACAGAAGTGCCAGAAGCTGAGTACTTCATGAGAAAGGGACAAAGACCTGGCACCGCCCTGACACTGATGGAATGCATCATGGCGGGAATGTCTGTCAAGACTTACCCCAACTAAGGGGCTAGTTGGTGCAAGAAAGCCTGGCAGGCCAGGTGAACCTCCCTGAGCTTCCTGACATGGATATGGAGGGCCAGGCCAAATGGCCTTGGGTGTTGCCTCTGAAGCAGCTGAGGCTATGGTGAGCAATGGAGATGGGGACATGAAAGGAATTTCTTGGAGCACCAACTTGGGACCCCACCACCAATCCAACAAGGGTCAGTACCGTGACCACTTTGTGTAGGAGGTGCCTGTTGGGAATGTAAACACAGCTAAACATTCTCAACTTAACTATTTACAGGTAAGCAACTATCTAAAACCATAACTGAAGAAGAGATCAGGGAGCTCCGACCGCGACCAGAGGCGGCTGAGAGGAACTGACGGTTGCTGGCTCGCGCGCGGCTGATCAAAGGCGCGAACGCTATCCTGGGAACCACGCTTGCGCGAGCCGGCGAAGCACAGCTATGAAAAGTCTCCGAGCCGCGGCGCCGGGACGGGACCCGACACCTAGAGTGGAGCACCCACGGGGCCACTCGAAGAATAACCTCTGTTGCCTCCCTCTTTTCCTCCATACTAAGAACACAATCTCTTGCTCTCATGCAGTACTGACCCCCGCTGCAAGGAGTGCATAAAGGTATTGCTAGTGGCCTTAATTCTGCAGGAAAACAGCAATTACCTGCTCTCTCTGAAGGGACAAAAAGGGGAAAAGCTTGGGGGTCATCTTCGTGGCAAGGAGCCAGCAGACATCTTTATTCATCATGAAAGCCATGAAGAGTACAGAGACAACATAGGAGGAGAGTGACAGAAAAGACCTTCACAGAGATCTCCTTGCCCCACACAAAGCTGTAAGTTAGTTCCTCCTCACTACCACAACTGCTGCAGCAGGAACAGAGAAGGCCTGGCTCGGCAAGGAAAGCAGAACAAGAGATTAACGTTTATAGTTTTGAAAGGAAAATGAAATTACCTCTCTTCTCTTCCTCTCTTTTGAGTTTATCCTCCTCCAATTCTTTGGGGAGCTTTTCTTTTCTTTCTTTTTCTACATCATTGTGAAGATGCTTGGTGGTGTAGCTGAGTGCTGGTGACAGAAGAATCTCTCCATTCTTACAGAGCTCATCGCGGATTTTAATAAAGAACTGCTGAAGTTCCACAGCATCCTCATAAATCTCGGAATCAGTCCTGCACGGAAATAACAGATCAATTACAAGATGAAAGTCTACTTTATGCAGGAATACACCAGTATTCTAAATACAAACTCATCAACTGTTACCTTGAAGGATAAATTTTAAAAAGACACTCCATGTATATTAGAGAACTTGTATTCAACAAAAGAAGTGAAGTGAAATAAAACTCAGCGCATATTACTATATTAATGAAACAGTTTACTTTATTGTTTGGTGACAGTCTATGTCTCTACATAGCATCTCTCCCCCAAAACAACCTATACCTCTGAACAGTCTCCTTTTTACCATCCTGTGGCTGACCACTGAGCTCCTCATGTGCACTTCTCTTCCATTAACTTTGGAAGATAGGAAGATAGCCCTGCATCGGTTTAATCTTCTGTTTTGCCAGGGTTAACATCAAAGATAGGGGATACAAATTTTAAAATAAAAGCTTAAGTTCTACTGAAGATAATGGCACCCCACTAAGAAGCTGCACACTCACAGGAAATTTAACGTGTCTCAAAATGGAAATGGCCAGTGCTAAGACTCAAAATTAACTTAACAAGACTAAAGTTTGATATATGTATGGTTTCACTCACCGGTTCATCCTTCTTGCCCTCTCTAGCACCTCAAACATCTGCTCTTGAAACAAGTCCAGTCTCCTGTAGCGATTATTTTCTACATTCTTTCGGATAATATCAAAAGTCAAAGGTGTTTTGTTTGTGATTTCAGCCAAGGAGTCACTGTAACACCTGCCCTCATCATCCTGATGACTCATTACAGATACAAAAAGGTTATGGATAAGTTCTTGGATGAGTAATGTTACATTGGGTACATGAGAATCCTCATCACCTTCTATGTCTCTTCTAGTTTCAAGCAAAACTTTATGTAGGACAAGAGCATCTTTATAAATCAGAGACTCTGGCTCATTGTAAGTGCAGGCATTATTGAACATCATTGCAAAGTCTTCTACCATGGAATCAATGTCCTGATACTTGTTGGCCATCATATGACTTCTTATCTTTTCCATGTCAACGGGCTTTTTAATGGTTACATAATAGTCAGGAAGTTCTGATCGAGATGGGAGCCTCAGGAAGATGGCACTTAATCGCCTCCCTCGTTTATCTGTGTAATTCTTCACTGCTTCGTATACCTCATTCAGTTTCTGTTGCATTGGAGTCATGTATTTTGATTTCTTAGGGGAAATACCACTTTTTCGACCTACACAGACAAAAAACAAAACCCAAATGTATAAAACCCAGTCAGCCTTGTGTATTTACCTCCCTAACAGTCTCCCTTTCTATGGCTCAGGTAACTTAGTACATAATTGCCCTAATGAAACTAGCAATTTTTTCACATCTATTCCATCAGCTCTTACTATTTACTTTTTTCATGTTTTCTCTGTTTTCATTGTGAACAATTTAGTACAACATACAGAGTGCTGGAACTGAAACTACTGAAGCAAGTCTTCTATAAGTACACATTGGACTTCCCTGGTCTGGCACCCTCGGGACCTGACTAGAACCAGATGAGGGATTTTTCCAGACTAGGGAGGTAATTTCTGGTCCCCCTGTTGCCAAGCTTCTCCCCTGCTGCCCTCTGCCCCTGGGCTTCCTGGCTCCCCCCCACAGAATAGCTGAGATGCATGCCAGCTCAGCTCATTCCTCCCTCATCTCCACAGTCAAACTGAGCTGCACGCTGGCTCCTGGCTCTCCCCCCCTCACAGCCCAACTGAACTGCGTACTGGCTCCTGGCTCCCTCCTCGCAGCCCAATTGAACTGCATGCGGGCTCCCAGGCCCCACTCCCTGCAGTGCCCCAGGACTTTCTGATCTTGGGAACATCCGTGCTCATGCCGGACCAGGGATGTTGCCGTACCACAGAATCCTGGATTTTAGAGGTGCAACCTGTATAAAATAATTATTCAAGACTGCACGTCAGCCTCAAGTTGAAGACTGAGGAACACAACACAAAAATAGCAGTGTGTGAAACTCTCACTTCAGGGCATAGTCATTAAAATCCTCGCTTCGTGTGGATTTTCCACAGCCATTACAATTCTCTTTTCATGGGAGATTTTCAAATGTGTGTATGTCTACTCTGTAGTTGGGAGCGTGTTTAGCCTGAGCCTCTGCCAGTACTGCAACCTCTACACCGCTACTGTCACAATACTAGCTTGAGGAGGCACTCCCAGCTGCTGTGCAGACACATCCTAAGAGTCCCACATACTGTGAATTTTCCCCCATACAGCAGATTTAAGATAAACTAGGTTGACTTCTTATAGCTAAAATGTAAAATAATGCCTTCAAATAGGGCTACCCAATCAGATTAGCTTTGTTAATACAAGAGCAGTTATTACAGCAATACACACTCTTTGCACTTGCATTCTTCCAAATCTAGGCCTTCTTGGTGGCTTTATATTTTTATCCTCAGTGATGCTTCAATGTGGTGTCTGTGCTGCTGCTGGGTTTTTTAAAGCCCTTCTATACACTTTGCTCATTTTCTCAGGTTAAAACTTAAACATATGTGAAAAGAGCAGCACCAACCAGAAATCTGCTCAGTTTCTTCTTTCTTTTTTTTTTTTTTTAATGGAGTGAAAAATAGTTCTAATACCCCACCTACTGCTGAATTTCCTTGCCACTGAAGCGAATTTACAATAAATTTTCTCTTAAAGATGTTTCACTTCTGTTTGTGGCTCTGTGGAAGAGCCAGATATACAAAAGGGGAATCTAAGGATCAGATGCACCCTTACTCATACTGGATAGTATCTTACTCTAAGTGATCTAATTACTATCAGTGGAACTACTCAAGGAACAAGATACTACGCAGTATATGATTAAAGATGGCAGATCACAGCCAGAAGTCATTATACACAAAATGTTACTGAATGCATAAAGATACTGAAAAATAATTAAGAGCCCTGAAAATAAACAAAGCTGCTACTTTTCAGGGTAAATGACAAATATCCAAAGATGTCTATGGAAACAGAGCAGATCTTCTAGCTCCTGGCACTGTTCCTTAACCTATTTGCACTTTAGCCACTGCTAAATCATTTTCTGATGTTTCAAAGCTTACTACTGTGGCAGGGCAGGTTACTTCAGGGCAGCCAGAAGCAGCTAACCTGAGGCTATTTAAGAGCAGAATGGAAACAGCTAGGACAGGGCTGCTATAAGGGCCAAGTGATTTGACTTCAGGCAGTGGGGGGAGGGGAAGGGAAGGACTTTTAACAAGCTTTCCCTGTAGGGATGCCAGGTGTCCGGTTTTCACCTAGACAGTCCGGTATTTGCGGGCTCTGTCCGGTAAAAAAACAGGAAATACTGGACATGTGCAATGTCCAGTATTTCCTGTTTCCCTGAGACGGAAGCCCAGCAGAGACAATTTTCCCCTGCTGCATCTAGCGGGGGCATGCGGAGCGTGGCAGAGTCTAGCAAAGGGGGGGCAAGACGGCGCATTTGCCGGGCGCCACACTAAGGGGGCACCGGGCTGGGCTGGGAGCAGAGTGCACACTGCTCTGGCCCACGTGACCAGCAGAGACCAGGAGCTGGCAAAGCGATACCTCCCTCTCTCTACAATGTGAGCCGAGGCAGCCGGCAGGGCAGCCACTTTAAAAGTAAGATTGTTCCTCCGTGCTTGGCTCTGTGGGGAGAAAGGGAGAAGATCTGATTGAAGCAGGGGCCCCCGATGCTGAGGATGCCTGCCTCAGGGGGAAGGGAGAGTGTACTGGGATGGGAGGGGTGCTGGGGGGATCTGGCTCCGAGACAGGGGGGAGTGCATTGGGATGGGGAGACTGGCTCAGGAGGAGGGGTGGGTGCATTGGCGGTTAGTGTGCAGTCCCAAACTGGACAGAGTGGTACAACTTTTGCTCAATAACTTTGGCTCCCCCCCCTTTTCTTTTGCTTAGCAACTTTGGTCTCCTCTCCCTACTCCTCCCCCCCACTTCCCACGACAGAATTTTTTTCCCAGTGTTTTTTTTGCCCAGAGGAGGGGGAGTGTTCGGTATTTTTTGTTAAACCTTCTGGCAACCCTATTTCCCTGTTGGGAGGAGGGGCAAAGTGGGGGGAGAGAGGAGTTTGGAATGAGGTGGAGAGGAGCTATAACTGATAAGAAAAGAATGAGAAAGGCTGATACAGAGAACAGCAGCATTGCCAGAGACAACAGGATAGGTGAGCGGTAGGGTTGCCAGGTGTCTGGTATTTGCGGTCTCTATCCGGTAAAAAAACAGAAAATACTGGACATGTACAATTTTCTGTTTTTCTCGGATGGAAGGCCACTTGGGACATTCGTACCCTGCCGTGTCTGGAGGTGGCGGGGGAAAAAATGGGGATTTAAAGGTGCAGTGATTTTTTTTTTGCTCAACAACTTTGGGTCCCCCCCCCCCTTTTTTTTAATACAACCAATTTTTTTCCTGCCATGTTCAGTATGTTTTTTGAAAGTATCTGGCAACCATGGTGAGAGGCTCCGACCAGGAGTGTTTGGACTCCCTTACCCAAGTAGCCTGAGAGCCCAGCCAGTAGCTGGGGAGGACTGGTTACCCAGGCCCAGGCTGACCAGGGGCATTGGCTCCAACATCCTTTTAGCTGAGGGGCAGAAGCCCAAACAGGACCTGCACCACAGGACTTAGACTGTGAGGCTGTAAACTGAACAGAGGTTTGGGGCCCAGGAGTGGTACTGACCCGGCCACACTACATATGCTTCTTATATCTCATTCAGCTGATTGGGGATGTAATACCAATGCTTAAATTCCAGTTATTTTGAATTTACCTGCTTCGTTCTAACCTAGCCTGTAGAAAAATGTGTTACATATTCTCTCAATCGGACTCTCCAAACTCCCACATCTTAATTTTCATTTCAGCACAAACACACCAATTTCCACTGTAATGATGATGGTATTGACAATGTAATTCAGTTCAGCAGTCTAATGTACATTTGGGTTTAGAAGTGGCACAAGTTATGCAGCCTGCCTGGAATGTATGGTGACCTGGCTTTCCATTTTAACATTAATCTGTAGCATTTTATTCCATAACAACATTTACCAAGAAGTAGGAATCCACAAGGCTGCCTTACTTAGCTTTAGTTTAGGGGAAGCAATATCATCATCTTCAGGAAGAGGTCCCAGCTCTTTCTTTTTTTCTTTTAGAATCTTCTCTAGGATATGGGCATCATTATATACCTAGTAGCCATTACAATGTTGCAAGAGAAATAAAATAGTATTTAAATTATACGTTTCCTTAGGATAATGGAATAGAGTATGCCAAGAAAACTCTTAACACAGAAGAATTAACTCCTTAGTGAATATTCTTCACTTCCACTCTTGAATGATAGCGTAGTGTTGGAGGATGTTTTGTTAAAACAACGGATTCATTCCACCCCATTACTCTACATTTCAGTAAAGGACGAAATAATTCCTGTATGTAATTTTTGTAAAGCACCTTAGTATCTTTCAAAAAAAGGCCTGGTATTAGATTGTCCTCTTGACTTCGTCTCCATCCCTTTTGCTTTCTATTTAAATTATCACAATTTCTTTTTCTTTTTACTTCTGAAAACACACTATTCCCCATTCCCAGAGAAACCCTCTTTCAACTCTCTTCTGCTTCATCAAAGCTTATACACTCGTCCCATTTCCCCCTACAGCTCCTAGGAAGTTCAGTTCATGCTCACTGGTTTTCTGTTCTACAGTTTTCTCTTGCATCTCTTCTACGCCAGACCCTCCACCATAAACCACTTTTACCTATGTAAGCTCACCTCAATCATCTCTTGGCTAAGAGCTTTCTCTATTCTAATCCTTGTTTGATGTAGAGGCTCTGTCCCTTTCACCTTCACTCTCCCTACCTATTTGTCAAGATGCTATAGATTCCATTTAATTTTCCATTGTTAACTAGTATCACACAGATTTCTCTTAATCCCATCTCTCTTTTTCTTCAGACTTCATCCTTAGGTGACTTCACCAGCTCTTTCAGCTACCATTTCCTCTGTGGAGGACTTTCAAAACTATAACTTTTTTCAACACTCCCACCTTTTCCTTTTGATCAGTCTTACATCTCTGAATGTCTTTCAGTGATCTCCTTTTGAATATCCTACCAATTTAACCTTTAAGGTTGTGATTTTCAAAGGGATGTAAGGGAGTTTGGGGTCCATAATGCATTTAATGCCAGTGAGAACTGAGTGTCTAATTTCATTAAGTCCCTGTGAAATTCCCAGTTCAAATTCCTAAGACTATTTGGAAGGAAAGATCAAATTCACTCAGCTCTCCATTAGTGTCCATTGTTCTTCACATAAATCAAGGGTCAAACTTGGTTTCATGTCTACCTTGCTCTCCTGCTCGCTGTCGCATCCCACATCCTGGCTTTCCCTTTCTTCCTCTAGGTGAAGTCTAAAAATCAGCTATTTCTCTCCATCCCTCCAACTGCAATCCTTCTGCAGATATCTTGGTCAACTTTCACCTGACAGCTGCAATCTATATTTTTCACTTCTCATCTCTCTCCACTCCCTCCTTCAGCAGTCATATGCTACTACTAAAATCCACTTAATTCTGTTCCCCACTCTTAAGTTATTCTCTCCTGCTAGTCCTTTTGTTGGCTTCCCAAAACCTAGTTCAAACTCCCAAGTCTCCCCTAAGAGGCTCTGATCTCGGTCTACTATCCCACATCCTCCTCTCAACATCTCTCTCCCTTTGCACTTCATCTTTATCTCTCTGTCTTCCATTCCTCTTCACGTCGCCTTCTGCCTCTAGTACTTGGATTTATCCCCCCCCTTCAAATAATTCCTCAAACACATTTCTAGCACAGTGTTTTAAAACCTCCTACTCTCTGTTAATTTCTGCCTTGCGATCCAAATCACATTAAGCTATCTTGGGAAGAATATAAATAGGGTTGCCAGGTGTCTGGTTTTCGCCTGGACAGTCTGGTATTTGTGGCCCCTGTCCAGTAACCACCCCCCCAAAAAAAACTCTCAGAAAATACCAGACATGTAAAATGTCCAGTATTTTCTGTTTTTCTTAGATGGAAGGTTGGCGGGGACATTTTTCCCCTGCCGCATTTGGCGGGGGGAAGAGCACAGGGATTTAAAGGATCAGCCACCTCTCCCTCACCCCCCCTCCTTTTTTTTTTGCTCAACAAGTTTGGTCCCCTGGTTTGTTTGGGTTTTTTCGCTCAACCAATTTTTTCTCCCAACATGTTCAGGATTTTTTGTGAAAGTATCTGGCAACCCTAAATATAAAGATCTTGTTTGTTAACAGTTCGCTGTCATCACTCAAATACATTTGCAGGACTTCAAATAAGTGACTTACAGTTATAAGACTCCATTGGTCTTTTTGCCAATGTAGCTTATTAAACCATCAGATTATTTTGCAAGTGTTGCTGCATGTTCATCACTTGCCAAATTAAACATTTCAACGATCTGATTAAGAACAAGAGACCACCATTGCTTTTTAAATTTGCTTATGCTGTCCTGCTCAATTACTTTAAGTTGTCAGGCAGAAATATGTGTTTCTAAATTTATAGAGAGAGTAGGTTTGGTGTTTGAAACAACATTCATTGGTATGCACCTTAGTAAGAATAGCTTCCAGATTACTCCAGTCACCATACATTCTGGATGCCTTCATACAGTAAGATATCACTGGTTTTACTTTTTTTTAGGGCATCAAAGATTTGTTTTCCTGTCTCAAAATGCCACAGAACCCAGTTTCTCACTGCCGTGCATAATGCTGTCAACAATGGGGTACAAATATGTGTTTCTTCAGCTAGTGTTTGACTCAGCTTTACCTGACTAAAGGACTAAATATGGACTTCGGGATTTGATCTATAGTTATTAAATAGCTTTATTATTTAATCATTCGTTAATGGTAATTACTTGGTTAAAAAGGATTTGTATGTCTCTTTTGCATACACTTTGGGAATATACATTTAACCATCATAGATAAATGTTTAATAAGGAAGATAATGATGACCACATGTAAACTATGCATTTAAACGGAATCTCCATTCTGACAGGATTATAAAAACAACATGGTGGGAGCACATGTTCTCCTTTTCTCAATTTCTTTATCGAATCTTCAGAATTTTTGAAGGGTTCGTAGGTGGAAAGGGTATCTATGTTACTCAAATGTATTCCTTTGAGTACCAGAGACCACCTTTCCACCAATGAGTCCTGCAAAATTATGCAGAGATCTCAAAACCGAACTGAGTTATTAATACTATAGCTAACCCATTGGTAACAAAAATTCGGAAGATTAAATTAGGTTTCGAGTGATCTCTATGTAATTCAATCGCCTTCAATGGGTTTACAGCGTGTAAGTTATGGAACTGAGTAAACAACTGTTTATTATGCACTGAAGAAACCAGAACAGTGATTTTTTAGTGTACAAAGCTAACAGGATTAAAAAATGGAATTGTATCCTTAATTCATGTACATTTAAAATTGAAGGCGCTCTGTTACTGTCTGCATATATCTGCAGGCAGAGGCAATATTTAAAACACAAAAATAAATCTGTACAGAATCAGTAGTGTTCCTGGTTTAGAAAAAGTATTACAGTGAGGTGCGCATGTTTTAGAACCGTTCACATAATCAATGGATGGAATAACCAGAGATTAACCACTACAGAAGTCCAACATGATTTTTCCTTCTGCAACAGAGCATTAAGGTGATTGTGCTTGCATAATCTAAACCATACCTGTGAGCCTTCCTCGTTATAGTGCCTCGCATTTCGGAACATTAGCCTCATGTCTTCTATCATAGCCTCCTCCCCTGAGTATTTATCACTGCGGATGTTATGCTCAATAATTTTTAAATCCATTGGCTCCAAAATGATTTTATAATAATCTGGATAGTCCTTTTTGGAGGGTTTAACCATAAATAGATCACAGAGTCTTCTGCCTGTGCCAGGTTCTCGAGCTTCAATAACAACATTATATAAGATTTTCATTCGTTGCTTCTTTATATTCTTTTTACTGTTGGGGAAAAAAAAAAGGGGGGGGGGGGGGGGGGGAGTTATTTTTTTCTCCCCTACATACCTACACCAGAACAACAATTTTCTTTCTGTTGCAAGATATACTGATTGCAATTTTTGAAAAAGTATATACACAGCTGTATAAGACCACCACCACCATGCTAAAAATGTGCGCACACCAATTTTGAAAGTAGTTAACAGAATTGGGTAAGTGCAACATTAGGTGAGCTAGATAGTTAATTTTAAACACCGCCTCTCCTCTTCCATTCCTCCAATTTGTAGGACCTTAAAAAAAAAAAAAAAAGAGTGGCCTCTGATTCGGAGTGCCTCAATTTTTGAATGTTTAACTTCACAAACCTTAGTCTCGTTTTCAGAGATGCTCAAATCAATGAGCTCTGTGAATACATAGCACCTTAGGAAAAAAAGATATGAAGCCTAAACTTCTGCAGCTGAATGTTCAAAAACTAAGGCAATTTTTAAAAAATGTAGTCCTAAGAGACTGGTTCACTGGAGAACTATGTAGAGAGCATCAAGGGAATTTATGACTCTTCTCTGTTTGTAAGAACCTTTCTATATTTCTTACAACATATATGGTATCATAAAGATAAAATATAAAGTAGTATCCTCTGAATGGTTTGAATAGCCAATAGGCTGTAGTACAAAACATTCTCCAAGATTGCTGCAGCACAGAGATTTTAACATTTAGTTCCTTCTCCATATAAATAACTTTATGCATAACAAAAAAATCTCTGCTTGATAGGACACTCGTGAAATGAACCAGCTATTTAATAATGTTTACACTTGGGAACAGCAGACACCACCATTACATTACAAGCAATTAAAAAAACACACAAAAGGAAACAAGCATAATACAACATGTCACAATGTGATGGAGAAAGAAAAAGGGATTCTTAGCTATACAAATTCAAAATCAGCAAGTACATTTTGTACTTCTTCACTGGCGGGGAGACTTGGAGATTCTCTCAAGTAGCCAAAGACAGTCAAAACAGACTAGACAGCTCTTGAGATCTCTACGTCTTTATGATTCTATGCTTCCCAGGTCATTTTTAATGTTTGGTCTGCTGATAGATGGCTAAGTAGCAGTTCAGCAGAAAAGGACATGGGAATTACAGTGGACGAGAAGTTTGATATGAGTCAACAGTGTGCCCTTGTAGCCAAGGCGGTGAATGGCATATTAGGGTGCATTAGGAGGAACATTGCCAGCAGATCCAGAGAAATGATTATTCCCTTTTATTCGGCTCTGGTGAGGCCACATCTGGAATATTATGTCCCCCCCACTATAGAAAGGATGTGGACGCATTGGAGAGGGTCCAACGGAGGGTGACCAAAATGATTAGGGGACTGGAGCACATGACCTATGAGGAGAGACTGAGGGATTTGTGTTTCTTTAGTCTGCAGAAGAGAAGAGTGAGGGGGGATTTGATAGCAGCCTTCGTCTTCCCGAAGGAAGGTTCCAATGAGGATGGAGAAAGGCAGTTCACAGTAGTGACGGAAGGCAGAACAAGGAGCAATGGTCTCAAGTTACAGTGGGAGAGGTCTAGGTTGGATATTAGGAAAAACTATTTCACTAGGAGGATGATGAAGCACTGAGATGGGTTCCCTAGGGAGGGGGTGGAATCTCCTTCCCTAGAGGTTTTTAAGTCTCGGCTTGACAAAGCCCTGGCCGGGTTGATTTAGTTGGAATTGGTCCTGCCTAGAACAGGGGGCTGGACTTGATGACCTTCTGAGGTCTCTTCCAGCTCTATGATTCGATAGTTAATGAGAGAAAAACAATACCAAGCAGAAATAGCAACATACTGACCCACATTCAAGGTTTGGGTCATGTATTTGCCACAGTGAAAGGGCCACGCAAAAGAATTCTCTCATTAACAGGCTTCTTACACCACCAGCTGCATGAGGATGCCAGGATATGTTTCACTCTGGCCCTTCACTATAAGTGCTGTTCTCTGGAATTCCTCAGAGTTTTTCACCTCTACTAACTGGATGCAGTTTTCATGATTGCAATTACAAATCAAAATTTGTTTTCACAATTATCTTTAGTGCACCAACAAAACATTTTTGCTTTTCTTCCATCATCGTGTTTCCATTAAGTCTCTGGCGTTTAGGGCAGTGATGAAGCTCCTCCTCTCCTGTCTGTTTTCTGGAAAGTCTTTCAATGGTTTCCCAGCTGTGCTTCAAATTTTTCATCTAGGCTTCCTAAGTTCTTTGCCATGTTGACTTCATAGAATCCTAGGACTGGAAGAGACCTCAGGAGGTCAGTGAGTCCAGGCAGCTGCCCAAAGCAGGACCAATCCCAACTAAATCATCCCAGCCAGGGCTTTGTCTAGCCAGGACTTAAAAACCTCTAAGGATGGAGATGCCACCCACTCCTGTGCTTCACTGCCCTCCTAGTGAAATAGTTTTTTCCAAATATCCAACCTAGACCTCTCCTACTGTAACTTAAGACCATTGCTCCTTGTTCTGCCATCAGTCATTACTGAGAACAGTCTCTCTCCATCCTCTTTGGAACCTCCCTTCAGGAAGTTGAAGGCTGCTATCAAATCCCCCCTCACTCTTCTCTTCAGCAGACTAAATAAGCCCAAATCCCTCAACCTCTCCTCATAGGTCATGTGCTCCAGTCCCCTAATCATTTTCGTTGCCCTCCGCTGGACCCTCTCCAATGCGTCCACATCATTTCTATAGTGGGGAGCCCAGAACTGGACACAATATTCCAGATGTGGCCTCGTCAGAGCCGAATAAAAGGGAATAGACACTTCTCTAGATCCGCTGGAAATGCTCCTCCTAATGCAACCTAATACGCCATTAGCCTTCTTGGTTAGAAGGACACACTCATTGTTGCTTGCCTTCAAGTATTCATCTTATTGCTACTCTGGTGATGGAATCAGCCACTTCCTCTCCAGTGCCCCTGGCAACGATGGTGCTCATATCCTGTTGGCTGCTCTGTGTCTTGGTTTGAGACAAAAGAGAGGATTTTTCTGAGGCAGGCGGTATGGAACGCAGACTGTTTGGACATGTCATACTTTCTAATTCTCCAGCATTCTGCAGTATAAAGTAATGTTGAAAGTACGTAAGCTCTGATAAATCTTGATTAGAATATTTTTAAAAGGATTTCAATTTTCTCTTATATCAGAGGATGCAAAGCAATACACGATTTTAGGGCATGGAATGCAATTTAATTTGCTTGAGTCACCAATATCCATGGATTCTTCAAGTCACATGGACCTGCAATTTTTGTGGTCTGCTCCTCGCTGATCTTTACTTGGAACTATTTTCCCTCTCTCTCCGATCACTCAGCTGCCTTTCAGGATTTATTTTCCCCGAATGGTACTGCTGCATTGGATCACCTCCTTTAGCTGACTTATTGGTCTTTTGGTTGAGAAGGTTCTATTTTTGACTAGTGATCGGAAAACATGGAGGATGCTGTATAATTATATAATCAGGGTGATCAGGCCTGTTTTGATGGCTCCGATCTGCTTCCATTCGTTTCCAGTCCCTCTCCCTAATATAACAACGAACTCGGAACACGGAAGATTGACAGTAACAGGATGGATAAACGATGAAAAAACAATGGAGGGATCCAAATTTCAGTTTACACCAGCAAATTTCTCTATCACAATCATTTCAGTAAACATCAAAGAGTTTTCTCCAGTTTTATGAAGAACAGATGGGTTAGCATTTATCCTTACAAACTTGATTTTTTAAACTTACAATCTTAGTGGGCATGTATAATGCATTTAGAGCACTGTGTCCACTGTTTTGTACACACATTCTAATATTCTGACTGCCCATAATCATCCTACTCTTACATCTGGTCTATTTATGTCCTTCTTGGCCATGATCATTGCTAATAGACTACTTGGGGAGTGTGAGATCAGAAGGAAGAGAGAGGTGGCCCACTATGACTCTCTGTAAAACTATACTTAATCTGTCCCAGTCAAAACAAAGAAAAATCCAATGATCTTATCACAGGGAGTTCCCCCCCTCCCCCATGCAAAAACCAGCATCTTGTGACTGGATTTAAAATGAACAAACTGTAAAAATGTAAAATACATTTTAAAAATATATGTTCAATTCAGAAGTTACTAACAAGTAGTAAAAAGGAGAGCCACGGACAAGGAAAAACAAGAGGAGCAACATAATCACTAGCTACAGAGAACATGTAATAACATATCACAAAAACGTCAAGTTCTTTTTGAACTGAAAACACAATCTTAAGTGAGATACACAGATATAGTATTGCATAATTATGTAGAATGACATCTTAAGGAACTAAAGTATAAATATCCTTCCCAGCTATCTATTGACATATTAGTAAAAAAAATAAGCATGGAAAAATAAGATAATTATAACTAAGATAAGTTTCATGATTTTAGAATTCACATGTGAAGTCTTAAACACAGATGTTTTATAGTCTTCTATACAACAAATAAAAGCTTCACCAAATCATGTCTGTAGGAAAACCAAAAGTGCATACCTTTTCCTTTTTGAACTTCCAGTGTCAGACGTGGCAGAAGAGATCATGCTATCTCCGTCTTCAATGTCATCTCTCCTAGCTAGTTCTTTCTTCTTTGCCTGAAAAAGAGCAATTCCCGAGTGTCAGACTTGCTACTGAATAAATGAATATTAAACAGCTGCACAGATCATATTCCTTGAGAGACAACTACAGCTGTAGGATTCATAAGTTCAAAGCACCATTAAATGATTTCCAATGACTGTAATTCAATGAAAGACATCTGCACAAAAGAGAATGTATTAAAAACTGACATGAAAATATCTGAAGAATCAATTCTAGCCAATGCTATTTCAGACTAGCAGCTATTTGAACTGTTGTCTTAAACACTGTAATTCATGATACATGAAGTGTGTTAGCATTCGCCTATTATGGTCATTTTACCTATATTATGATGAGTCCAGAGGCACCTGAAGACTAACAAATTTATTTGGAAATAAGCTTTCTGTGGGCTGTAGCTCACTTTGGGTATGTCTACACTACCCCCCTAGTTCGAACTAGCGGGGTAATGTAGTCATTTGGAGTTGCAAATGAAACCCGGGATTTGAATTTCCTGGGCTTCATTTGCATGATGCCAGCCGGCGCCATTTTTAAATGCCGGCTAGTTCGGATTAGGCTTCCTATTCCGAACTAGCTGTACACCTCGTTCCATATTTATTAGTCTTTTTACTGAAACAGACTACCCTGGCTACCCCTCTGAAACTTTTAGCTATATTGTATGTCAATTTTGAAGATTCTTGTACTTACTTTTAAAGCTTGATTCTAATCTACTCGCAAAGAAAGTAATTTAGAGAGATAACTAAGAAGATCCACTCCCCGTTCAGCACAGGATTTTTGCAGATCTATTTCCTGACAAAGGCAGATGACCCAGTATACAATGCACTGAGAACTTCTGAACATATGTTCAGGATACTTAGCCATGAAAAATGCATTGTTGAACATACAAAACAGCTAACAAACCATACACTAGGCTACTTCATTCTGAAAGGCTTACAAAACTACCTCCTAAAGAAAATAAATTCATACATATAGCTATCATCTTGATTGTTTTGCTGTTCTCTTTATACCTGCATAACTTGCTGCATTTTCAGTACTCTCTTATAGATGGCTGAATTAGGAACATTGTAACGTTTGGCATTTTCAAACATTAAGTTCAGATCACACTCCAAGTGGTCTAAAGTTTCATATTCATGGTTCTTCAGTTTGGTTCTGTGGAAAAAAGACAGATAACTTTAGTTGCTTCACCACAGCTGATCACAGTAAAGTAATTATTTTAAACGCTTTTTTTTTTTTTTTAACATAAGCAAGTCAATAACAGGAGGAATGTACAATACCTCAATATTGCAACTAGGCATGCCACACAAACAGCTTTTTTTAAAGTGAATTTAGCATTAGGAAAGGTGCCATACTGTAACCTTTTTTTCATACAAAGATCTAGCATGGGAGGCAGAAGCACAAGATTCCCCTGTAACTGTTCCACCATGCCTGGAAGTATAAAAAGATATTCAATCCCCATTTTAATTGTGAGCTTAGAGCAGGCAGCACCACGTGAAAAATGCTAAGTTCCAATGGCTCCAATCATCGGTGACTTGTGATGCGCCTCACCTCCTTGGATCAGGCTTTCAATTTTTGGCCTCTACTAAAACTGCCAACAAGAAGCATGTAAATTAGCCCTAACTGCAGTAAAGTTTGTTATGAAAATACTATTACGCTGGTCTGAGATCAAGTCATTTCACGTCTGAAAACAAATTGCAATCGGACAACAGTGATTTGAAAGCACTTTTTGCTTTCTCCCATTTCCCCTGACGTTACGGGAAAATTCCTAGTCAAAATCTTCATCTTCACCTCAAAACCACCTCAATTAAAATGCATACAGAAAACTGGTCTATGCAAAACAGCACATAAACTGCAAAGCAAGTTGTGAAAACTGCTACTGATTGGCTAAAATTGATCATATCCTATTACTTCTGTTCTCCTGCCTCCCTCCCCCCTCATTCCTAGCCTGCTTGCTTGTCGCATCCATCTGATTTCTGTTGTCTTTTAATCTGTAAGTAGGGACTGCCATATATGTTTGAGCAAAGCCCATGGCAATTGGCCTTTGGGCTGGGAGAGACCTTTCAGAGCTACTGCAATATAAACGTAACCAGTTTTGGTCAATACCAAACTACTGCCTCGAAGCGTGAAAGGTTGTGTTCTATTAACAGTTCCCTAAGTCATCCAGTTCCATTGTTGTTAAACTTCTGTATTTCTCCGTAGTGGTTGAGGAGAACAAGGCCTGTTCAAACAAGGTGAGGAGCTGCAATTGTTATGGAAATCACTGAATCATAAGCATGCATCTCTGCAATGCCACTTCTAAAGAATCATTTTTCAGGGCAGAATCACACTTTAATTGCATAGTTCACATGGTCCCTATCTGCATGCTCCCCACTGGATGCAGTAGAGCAAATTCAGCTTTCCTGCTCAGTTTGGTTTGTCAGTGAACTCTCCTCTTGGGGGAGAAATAAAACTCCCAAACGGAGATCCTGAACTTGAAGAGGAAAATAAATTTATTATATAATATATTTTCTTTAACATTCATCATTTAAAAATCAAACACATTCAATTAATATGTTAGGATGCTGAAAAGCTTGATAATCACTTAAACCTTTTTAGCTCACTTTTAATAAACTCACCATAAGCAGCAGACTGAAATGTTGTTTTGTTTCTGCAACCCTGCCCTGGATCTATACTGCAAGGTTACTACTTTAATTTCACAATTTACATGGGATTATCCGATGTGCAAATGACATTTTTGCTAGTTTACTGTTTGACTGGCGGGAGAGGAGGGGTTTTTACATGTGGTAAGTAAATGAGATTTGTATGGTCTACGGAGAAAATGTAAGTATAATTTTGTTATGTTCTTTGACATCTTTTCCTATAAATTAATTGGGAAAAAAATTAAGCAATCTGTCAGTCTTCTAAAACTACAAATTAAAACTAAACCTGTATATGAAAAATTCAACAGAATACCAACTCCAGGCATCCATTGAAGGGCTACACTGATGAGAGCATTGTGAGAGAAGTTCCCACAAATAAACATCCTGCTTCTCTCCCAAGGAATGTAGATGGCATCCGACCAATATTTTTTGTTAATATTTCTTTCCTCAGGGGACTCTGACAATAGACATAGACAGTAGTATGCATAGACCAATAGCATGTAAACTTTTCCAACCGTGTCCCCCTGCTCACCATTCACATAATTTGTTGGCCGTTACTTGTAATCTGAAACTGAGTTTTCTGCATTACTTGTTATCTGAAACTGGTTTTCATACTGGAAGCTGGAGGGGAATGTAGAGATGAGACCATTCATTCAGATTCACATTCGAATGTTCGACTCACTTGACAGATCCCAGGCTCTCAATTATTATTATATATGTTGCCAGTTTATGTTTTAATAATCGATTAATTAAAATGAGTTTTCAGACAAGAATCAAAATAAATTTTAAGCACATAACAGACCATACTGGAATTACGAAATTTACCAAACTATTTGAAAATAAGTCAGGCTGTTCTTTTTATCTGTATGTTTGTTTTTTAAAAGAGTGAAAGGCTGAGGTTTCTTTGTGCGCTCCCCTCCCTCATTGACATTTGCACACCATGACAGACAGTAAAGCAGAATTAGTCTCAGTCCAAGACAGAGTAGTAGAACTATAAATATTAAGTTCATGACAGACAGGAATAGCAAATACTTATTCAAGTAGTACATTCCAAATATTTTCAAGAGTTTTTCCATCTTTACTGCTGTGGGAGGAGAAGGAAAAAAACTACTCTTTTTTTATTCTGAAGTATTTACTATCAAGGTCATCTTTTGGGCTGGGATAAAGAATTTTTTTATAGCAAAGTTCATTACAGCAAATAAGGTATGTAGATGAAACACTCAGGCTTCTCGATTGTTTGCTGAGCCAAGTAAGTGGTATTTGTTTTATTTGTAGCAGTGTACACTTTGTGAATGTTCTTGTGCAACACTGATACATTTGTCCTCTTGTGGAAAGCTAGAGAAATTTTATGACATTGAAAGACAGTAATATGAAAATATATACCTTAAAAATTTCTAGCCTCCTAATTCAACTCCCTTGACTATAGTTTGGAAGTTACGGTTAACGTGTATTTATTGCTGTGTTGCAGAAAAGAATCTGCAGAAAGCTGAGCAAAACCTGATGGATTCCATCTACATGTACTCCACAAATACTGCATTTCTTTATTCAATGCTATCTTCTCTCCATAACCTCTGAGTGCTATTTCTCTTTATTAAGGGCTGAACTAAACACAGTTTTCGTACCTATTTAACTATATCAGTTTAGAGATGTTAAGGACTAGTCGACTATCCGATAGTCTGATGACTAGTTGATTTCTCCCCCCTTGCTGCCTCTATGATGTAGAGGAAGCAAGTAGGGGAAGGAGGGATACTTCAAAGCAGCAGCACCACACAGATGAGCTGAGGATCAGCTGTGCGGTGCTGCTGCTTTGAAACCCCAAGGCCGCTTTGAAACCCGAGGATCAGCTGTGCGGCGCTGCCCCTTAAAAACGCCGATGAGCTATGGAACTGGGGACTCCCCAGTTGACTCTGTGTTCTGGGGAAATGTTGCGGAGCCTGGGATCCATGGCTCCATGGCTGCCCCTTTAACTCAGTGTTTCAAAGGGGCAGCCGCCTCACAGTTGATCCCAGGATTAGCTGTGCAGCGCTGTCCCTTTGAAAAGCCAAGGCATCGTTTTAAAAGAGCAGTGCCACATAGCTGAGCCGGGGATCAGCTCTACGGTGGCTGCCCCTTTGAAACGCCGCCTCCATGTTTCAAAGGGGCAGCGATAGAGCCCGGGGTCAATTGGGGACTGCCCAGATGATCCTAGGCTCCACTGATATGCCACAGAACCCGGCGTCAGCTGGGGAGTCCCCTGCTGACCCCGGGCTCTGTGCGGCATGCAGTCCCCTGCTGACCCCGGGCTCCATGGCTCTGAAATACACAAAAGCCCCTGCTGGGGACTCTTGTACATTTCAAAGCAGGCACCCATGTGCAGCCTGGAGTCAGCTGGACTTCCCTTTGTAAGTGGACTTCCTCATTCCTCCTCTGAAATGCACAAGAACCCCAGTGGGGGCTCTTGTACATTTCAAAGGAGGAATGTGGAAGTGCCTCTCGACTACTCAATTAACCACAATTTAACATCCCTATATCAGTGTAAATCCTATTTCTGTATATTTAAAGTTGGTATAAGTAAATCAGTGTTGGGGGTGTGGTGGCATGGTGGCACTGCTCTTGCCATCTGTTTTTAAACCAATTTAGTTGAAACTGGTACAAGAACTGTACAGATAAGCCTTCGGATACTCTCTAAAGAGCTCAGATTAAACTGAAACAAGAGCTTAATATTATTACTATAAATTTAAGAATATTTTAGGAATTTATATTTAGATAGATTTAAATACACATCATACACAAGTTCTAGGTCTCGTAACAATATATTTAAACTCACAAGCCATGCAGGAATACTAACTAAGCAGCACAGTACAATAAATTAGCTTACCAGCCAACAATATACCCCCCATTTCTCCAAGCCATAACCTAACCCTCCAAGATATACCCATCTCAAAGCCTTAATTAAGTAGATGCAGCATTTCTGAAGTTCAGGAAATACAAACTCCGCTCCAGAGGCAAAGGGCTTCCACAGAGAATAACTCTGCCTTTTATAGGTCCCAAACCATTTAGGGCTTTAGAGGTCAAAACACCTTAAAATTCACCAGGAAACCAAGAGGCAGCCAGTGAAGAGCCCAGATCACTAGGATAATAAGGCTCTTTGAAAGGTATATCTATTTATATATGGGCCTCTACATTCAGCACAAACTTTGCCATTCTTATGTTCTTAAACATAACAGGTTGAGAAATTTAAACACTGAGCAACTTTTCTGTAATTCTGAAAGACAACCATATTTTATAATCTAATATACAGAAAAGTTCTGTGCTCTCTATACACCTCTGAGATTTGTAAGGTCAGAAGGGGCAATCATGATCATCTAATCATGCATGAATTCATTTATTCAAACATTAGTTCCCACTAAATGCCACTCTCCTCATAGTTCAAGTCAATTGTCATGTTTTACTCCCTTATTTGCTATAACTACTTCACTTTTAAATTACAGATCAAAATGTGTTTGACCATTGCATATCATTTGAATTGGGATA